TATTATTATTATTATATGTAGATGACTATATATTATAAATTAAGCCTGAAAAAATCGATCCCTTTTAAGAGCTCTTAACAGAGGTCTGCAATATTTTTAATGCGAAGGCTGTCTAAGAACCCGTCTGAGCTAAACGAGGGTGACAGTGTACGTAGAATTTTTTTCTTATATTGCATAATTAGTGATTCTAGCTTGAGGTGCATCCCTAGGTGCCTAACAGTTTCAAGGCACAAGCTACGTGTGTACTAAATTTCATCTAAAACCGTTATACCATTTCACCGTGAAAGTGTAAATGACATAAACGCATGCTCATCCACATGTACGTACGTACAATGTTCTGCATTTATAATATTAGTCCAACTTATGTACATATTATAACTACTAATAAAGAATATTGAAATATTTTACTTTCTTTTCATGCAGAGAAGTCTGATAAAGTTAAAGTTTGTTTCATATTCATTGTCTGTATGTTGGTAGCCGCTATCGTCATGCATTGATTTAAACCTAACATTGTAGAGGTTTCAAGCAAAAGAGTAATTTCTAGAAAGAGAAATAATAATTTTTAAGAATAGTAGAGTATAAAAGGTTACTACTTTTAACAAGCCTTTATTGGCTTTTCTGAATATCTTTTAAGTCATTTTTAATCTGCTTGTAGTTTCGTATTTCGTCAAAACTTTATAAATGTGTGAAATTCAAATGGATAAAATAAAAAAAAATATATACCATCAATCTAATCATAAAACCAAGAAGAAGGTGGATAGTCGAACTCTACAATGGCCTAGTGGCATGGTCGTTGTAACTCATTTGATTTGATTGGATGAGTCTCATACGTCTATACTATTATAATAAATGTGAAAGTTTGTGTGTATGGATGTTTGTTACTCTTTCACGCCAGAACGGCTGAATGGATCTGGATGAAATTTAGCACAGAGATAGATTATAGTCTGGAGTAACACATATGCTACTTTTTATCCCAGAAAAATATACAGTTTGCGATTTATTTTTGTTTTTCTTGAGGCGAACCAAGCGAGGCGATAATTTCTTTAGGTTGTTCAATTATTATTATTGCCTTAACACCCGAGCTTAACCGCAGGCCTAAGTTAATTATTAATTTAATAATAACTTGAATGAAGGAATCAAAGAGACGTGACAGTCAATGCCGATAATTAAACTTAATTGGCTTACTAACCGCTATGGGGACTTGTTAGGAATATTAATCATGCTAGGTATTTATTGAAAGAATTTATTTATTTAAGTAATTAAGTAACGCTCTAAAAAGCAGTACGAGTTAATTCTAGAAACAGTCTCAAACAGGTCTAATAATTTGATTTCTATGTTAATTAAAATTAATTAATATGTGCTATTTGTAGTTTGAGATCTAACACTGGGGTAAATTAAACTGAGTTGGGGTGTTTTTTATCAATATTCTTCTTCTTCTCCCTGCCCATTTCCCAATCACTTGGGGTCAGCGCTGTACATCTTCTGTACTGCTGATAGGATTTGGCAAAAGTTTTACGACCGACCGCCTGCCTGACATCAACCCTCCTTGGGATTGCTATTATTTATCGCGGACGCCTTGTAATATGCACATTTGATATTACTCAAAGTTTTAATGTAATTTTAGAAATATTTTGAAATAAATTTTGAACACACAATACATTTTATTTTGGCGTTGTCAATTTTTTTCTAAAGATGTTTTTTGTTGAATATTTATTTTTTGAAAAGCTTATACTGATCTCAGAGGAGGTCCCATGTAAAACTTAAGAAAACCACCTTTAGGGGGAGGATAACATCTATACAAAAAAGTGATTTTTAATATTTTTGTATTTTTTAGACAAAAATTAATTATATTTTTATTACTAGCAATTCACCCTCGCTTCGCTTGGTATCTCTGGATTTTAATTTTTTTGAGCGGAACCCTAATTCTTTTACTGAAATAAAAGTAAGTAGCCTAAGTTACTCCTTATAACATCGACTACCTACCAATGAAAGTCCCGTCAAAATCAGCCCAGCCATTTCGGAGATTAGCCGGAACAAACAGACAGACAGACAAAAAAATTAAAAATTATGTTTTTCTTATAAATACCGTATATTTCCATATGCATCTAGTAAAATACTGTTATTTTGACATTTCAAACAGACACTTCAATTTTATTTATCTGTATAGATAATATATTATACGTGTAAAATATAAAACTATATTTACCTAGCTAAGATGTGCATTTGAAACCTTTGTTTTCCTTGTTACTCATCATGAAAATAGTGTTAGGCTTTCTAAAAGCTAAATATATATTATACATATATTTAACGATATAGCGAAAATATATAATCATTGTAAAAGCTTTCCAAAGACATTTCACGAAGCAATAGTTAGTGCCAAGTACATGTCGCTACTGCAGCGGACAGTTTCTTCTACCGCAATTACTTAGAATCTATAATATACTTAAGTCTGATCATTTTGTAATATACTTATGCCCTCTTTGCTCGAATGCAGAACAGTAGCCTATGTGTTACTCCTAGTCATAGTCTATCTGTGTATTAAAGTTCATCCAAATCCGTCCAGACACACACACACACAACACACTCACCTTCACATGCACACGCACACGCACACAAACACGCACACACAATATAAAAGATATGATATAAATGATAAACACAAAAATACAGGTAATTATTCCATTAATACATATAAATAATGTCATTATTCAAATTCTGATTAAATATGTTAACGTAATAACAAACAACGAAGGTATTGTATTTTGAATAAAACGATTGTACTCGTATGTACGAATATATAGCTGATTTATGTACAATTTATTATGTTCATTATGTATTTTGATCTAGCTTGATTACACTGGTGATATCGCAGGTAACTTGACAATAAATAATGATATAATTTTGGATTTGCCAATTATAACAAACGCGTATAATGCGAGGCAAATTTAGAAATAGTTATTTTTGATATCTATAGCTACTACTATACAGATTAGTTTCCATTACAAAGTAATGTAATAAATGGAAATCCATATCTATATATATGTACTTACAAATATTATAAATGTGAAAGTGTGTTTGTTTGTCTTTCTTTTACGTCGAAACAGAGTGACGGATTGGCTACTTTGTACCGCAGCAGATTACCTCATTCCCACGAGAAAACACGTTATAATGCCAGCAACCCAAAAATATTTATGATCAGAATTACTTGAAACTTTGTAATAATGCTCTTCAATACAATTAAATAAATAAGTGTTTTAGCATTTTTCGAAATTCATCCCATAAGGGGGTAAAATAAGGGATGAAAGTTTGTATGAAACGTACATTTTTTTGTAGTTTTAGCGTAAGCGAAGCCGCGGATTCTGCTAGTATAATATATATGCTGTATACATTAATAAAGTAGATATATTTATGTACTTAATAATATACATATAAGCAATCTAATTAAAGTAATTTTTAGTATTAACATTAAATAAAAGCCAAAAGTGCCTTACATATACAAAGGGGTGCGAAGGACAATTAGAACTTATTTGAAACACAATTACAAAACGGCTTTTAAAAGCTAAAAGCGGGTTAAATTATATTACCTTTTACTGGCAGTAAAGTGGGCTAACGGGATATAAAATAAAGTATATTTGAATGAATACTTTATAGAATAGAATTTATATCTTTTCATGCGATTTAATTTCAATTTCAATATAAAACATGTTTTTTTATATTAAAATGATGATTTTCTGGGAGAATTCACTAGAAGTACAAATCTGACAATTATATTTAAGCGACCCTTCCCAATTTTTGTCGGGTATTTCTTAAGACAGCGTTTTTAAAAAACGCGCCTCGCACTGCGAATTTCGAGTAGAATTGAAATAAAAACTGAAAACATTTAAATTACCTATCTAGATTATGTATGTACATTTATTCTAAATAGCAACCTTACAAGTTTAAATTCTTATGATCCACCGTATGGTAACTACGATACTGTGTACACAACATACATACATATTATGTATATATATTTTTTATAAGTAGAGTGATTTTCATATTCATATTAAGCATATTTGAAAGCGTAATCAACTAGCAATAAACGTTACGATGTTTCTGAAACAGAATAATATCCCATGAGAATCAGTATGAATAGAAGAAAAAATAGTTCTTCGTCTTCCTCCGGTCCATAAAGTATTTATCAATTGGATTGGATATTCCGTTCTTGGGTCTAAGACTGAACCAACTAACCAGCAAATTAAAAAAAAATATATGCCTGAGATATGATATATAGGAAAAAATATTTATATTACATTAAAATATTAATCTGCTTAGATTTTTATTTTACTGAATATTCATATTTCATTAATATAAGAAGCTACCATGACAACGTGATACGTAAATAATATACCAAACATGACGTTTTAATTAATTACTTCATCTAATTTCATGTAACATAAATAGCTATAATATTTACACAGGCGTTCAAGATGTCTTATTATGTTAAAGGTAATTATATCTTCATTCTTTACCCATTGTAAAGCTATTTTAATGCTTCTATTTTTTATGAATAGGCTGCCTAGCTCATATTTATATATTATACTTCATATTTGCATAAAATTTTTAAAAAGTAAAAAAAGTTTCCTTAATATAAAAGAAAAATTAAAAAATGTTTGTTTATTTAATACAGAAACTATCCGCGTGGGGAACTGTTATAAAACTACTGAAACCGTAAATAACACTAGATAAAGATATAACTGGAAAAAGTAATATCACTAAACTATCACTAAGAATTGGTCGCTTTTCATCCACCGCCATCTTCATTTTGGATACAAAAGTGGATAACTTAACTTGTTTATTTACTGGAGAAGCTTAACTACATATATGTAATTTTCATCCTTAAATTAAAGGCTAAATTATGTTTAACGCGATACTAGCAAGTATAAGTTAAGGAACTACTGTAATCTTGTAATAAAGCTTAAGATACTTGAGATAGGTAGTAGAAGCAAAGCTCAAACTTAACTATGATTGTAGACTACGAGCCAACAATGCATTTCAACACTTCTTGTGTATCCGATGAACAATACAAATTCTCTTTCATTGTCTCCTGCCACTGTAGTATATATATTACTTTAAAATTAAAGAAATAAATAAAATAGATTCGTAACGTGACCTTTAACTTGTAACATTTTGGACCTTACATTTAAATTCTATTGATATTTCTTCATTTTCTAGAAGTTTTGGGACGATGAAATTTTAATTTGTATATTTTATTTGTATGATAGTTAAAGTAAGGAAAATACACACATAGTATAGTTTTAATAATAAGAATTCATCTTAAATAGAAAATATCAAATATCAAATAAAGCTTCTTACTTTTTGTTGATTCTTCAGTACATACTCGTATTTTCTCATTATGTCTAAAATAAACACAAATTATCGTTTTTCTTGCAAATTTTAAAGGGAGTGACCTCACAGGCGGCATTGAAGATAAATATCGTTCTTATGACCAACGTGTTCTCCAAGGCACAAAAGTTTAAAATGTGTAAAAGAAACTTTTTATAAATATTACATTAATACATACTGTCTAGTACAGTATATATTAAAAGTAATCTGCCAAAATTACTATTCGTTTATTTTCACATCATAGAATACTTATTCCGGTGTGCTTGGTTCTATTTAAGTAGTTAAAAGTTAAAAAGACTTTAAGATTCAATCTCTGATAGAGCTTGTACTAATATAAAGTGCGGATAGGAAACTTTATCAATAAACTAGAAATTCCGCACACTTTAGCCCCGGACCAGAGCTTTAGCCACGGATTTAAAAAAAAGATATTTTCATCAAAGATAAAGTTTTTTTGAAGTTATAGTTCTTTTGATAACAAAAATGATGAATGATTTTTTTACAATGCGACAGGTTTACACTACAGTATGAAGTTAGTCATTATTAGACTACAATATTAAGTTATTTGTTACCCTTTAGTAGTGTGAAGTGATGTCTATATTTAGGATATTTATTGTGGTATTTCTATATACACAAGACGTGTCTTATATCGGTAAAATTAAAAAATATTACAAGCTTTTATTTAGTTTCACCTGTCAAGGTGTCTGTCCGTAATCAAATCATGTAAGTTAAATTTAACCCACTTCTCAGTGTCTGTTTGGGTTCAAAATTGGTACACACGTTTGGTTCTCGTGACTGCAAGATTCCCTAAAAGCCGCTATTCTTAATCCAATATGGCGAACGTTACAAAATACTTATGATATGGACAATAAATGAAAAGGCTTAATGAGCGAAACACAATAAGCAAAGTGACGTCATTGTAAATGACATGACATCGGCAACGCCCTTTTATATGATGAAGCCAAAAAAATAGAATCGTTATCAAACATTTTATTAAGTTACCTAACGCGAATTAAATTAACAAGTCGATATAAATTCAATCAAAACTCGAATAAAAGTGATGATTGAGGATGAATGAAATTCTTTTGAATGTGGGAAATTGTAAAGTAAGTTACTATTTTCATATCCGCAGTATATTTTCAACTTTTCGGTGGTGTACAATTTCCTTTAACCTTTCTAACTGAATTATTTAAATAAAGTTACAAATCAAGTTACGGAGTGTGTTTCTAAAAGCTTTTTTTTAATAAGTTTTTGATTCGTGTTTCTAATAGCTATTTTTAGCCCGTTGCTTTTGTAACAAGTACTTATAAATATATTTTAGTAAAAATGTATATATTATATATCGCATTGCACAGGATAATTGTCATTTGTCTTGACTGATGCTCCAAAATTAGACTCATTTTTATTTTAAATCGGGGAGATTTTTTAAATTCAAATCATAAAACGGTGGAAAACAGGATTATAAAATCTTGCTAAGATAATCTATCTGCAATTTCTTAATTTAATGTAATAAAACATACAAGACGTAAAGATAAGCAGAAAATCAGGAAGGATCTTACTTCGGATCTTAAACTATAAAAGACCGTAGTGACAAAATAATTATGATTATAAGGATTCAGTTTTTTAAGCTTTAACATTTTAACAGCATTTTATTTCTAAACTTAAAAAAGATGATATTGCCCGAGAAGAAAGCAAAAAATAACATTTTTTTTACATCAGCAAAGTGTCTAGCAAAAATTAGTAATGCATATATGATGTAACAATTCTATGGCTATACATTTATGTCTCAAATAAACACTGATATATTATATAGGTATATAAGATACAGCCTTAAAAGAGGACAGACGGACAGATGGCATAGGATGCGTAATATTATCGTGATTCTTTATATATGGAACCCAAAATTTTTTTCACTTACTACGTCTAGGTTTTGATTCAATAGTTGTTAGAATGTTTAAAATTGACTCTTTGTCAAAGTATACTTTAATTTAAAAATAAATAGCATGAAATAACAGAATTCAGAACCTATTCAAACCTCTTTTGTGGTAAAAGTAAATTGAAATAGACAATCCATGAGCACGTTTGTCAAATTCTCGTTATATCTAAATCTTATATCCAAATATTAACCATATAACATCAGGTCATAGATTTAGTGTATTTTTTTTCTAAACTACTTTCCCACGTCTGGCAAAAAGAAAATGCTTCAATGACATTTTATCCTTTTTAACCATTCCATTGCACCTCATTTAATGAAAATATCGAAAACTTATGTACATTCACAATGTGGTATAAATTCCAAGATATAGTAGGAAATATAGTAGATTGTATGTAAGTCTTTTACAAGAATATTTAAGCACGAATGTTTGTACTCCATTAATGTGTGTTTATATTTATAATATGTATGTATTTAAAGTTATAATATATGTGTAGTGTATCAACTATCTGGTATTTGAATAACACAAACGTCCTAGCTTACAATGGAACCAGATGGTGCTGTGTGTTATTGACTCAACGTATTTATTTATATATTTATAATATATGAAAAAATAGTTGATTTTGATCTCAAATATTATTATTATTCTTGAAAGATAGGGTCGCACCTTACAATACCTCGTACACCGAGAAATGGAGTGGATCTTTTTACAAAAACTCCCTCGTGACATGAATTTTGATGAAGGCACGAATTATCTTTTTTATTATTACAACGTAGACAAAGCTACGAGTTTTCTTATTTCTAGATGTATTAACATTTAACCGCATATGTCTAATATTCATTAATCAGTTTTATTTACCTGACCTTTATGATCTTAAGATACCTACATCTATACATATAATAAAATTGTAACTAAGCCAAATCTGTACATTGAATATTTTTTGGAAAATCTTATTGAAATAGACATTATTATCGATACAGCGGCCGAATCTATAGTTTTTAGAATTTTTGTCTGTCTGTCTGTCTGTCTGTCTGTCTGTCTGTCTGTCTGTCTGTTACCGCATCACGAGAAAACTACTGGACGGATTTTGATGAAACTTGGTATGGTGATACCTGGTTATCCAGGTCAACATATAGGATATAGATATAGAGAACACTTTTTACCGCGGGAAAATATCTCATTTCTGAGAAAAAAATACAAAAACTGCAACGTAAGAGTATACTAATATGTAAAACCTAAGAATTTGGTTTTTGGTAATCTAAACGCGGGCGGAGCCGCGGGCAATGTTAGTATATTATATATATTTATTCAGTGTGTACTAAGTAAATATATACAATATTATTAGTAAATAATAATATTGTATAAATATTCTAAATAAAATTAGGGCTACTATTATTATATCAGCTTTATTTATGAAAGATATTAATTTTAGTTGCTTTATGATTGTTATATTTGCTAAATAATATGTCATCTATGTTAATAAAATTGCATGTGTGAGTGTATAATGTCAATTTATTTCAGTAATTAAAGGCTATTTTATTTTTATTTTTTTATGTAAATATAGGTTAAACTATTTATATTTGTTAAAGATATAGAGCAAGAGTCAGCTGTAGGTAGTTGAATTATTGATTCGTTAAATAAATATTATCTACTAGCAGAACCCGCGGCTTCGCTCGCGCTAAAACTACAAAAAATCTCTAAAAAGGTAGTTTCATACAAACTTCGATCCCCTTTTTTACCCCCTTATAGGATGAATTTCGAAAAATGCTAAAACAAGTATTTATTTAATTTTATTGAAGAACATTAGTATCGAGTTTCAAGTAATTCTGATCACAAATATTTTTTTGGATTGTACATTTCTTCTTGTATGTAATACTTACACTTTTCAAAATAAACTTTTAGGTTACTTGGAACAAAAGGTAGTTAAAACCTTGGATTGTGAATAAAGTAACAAATAAAGAAGTAAGTATAATAATTAAAAGAAATAAGACAATGATATACAAAGGCGGCCTTATCATTAATTGTGATCTCTTACTAGCAGCCTCAGTTGTAAAAATCTTACGACAGAGATGGTAATATTGAAAATTCAGTAAAGTTGTTCGTAATGCTTACTCACAAACATCTTAGTTTTTTTATAATATATTTCTTACAATATATTGTAGTTACCATTTATTTATGACATTAGAAGTTATAGCTTACCTGCCTGTCCTCTTTGGGATTTAGCTCGACGTCCCACCGCTGGAGAAACCAAACTTAAAGCTCGATCCGCTCTCGGCAACTGTAGGGTCGTAGGACCGGGTTCTGAATGGCGGGCGCAAATCGCTGCCTCTACTACGGAGTCGATGCTGGCTGAGCGAGGAAGTTGGCCGGCTGATTCTCTTCTGTAATACATAAAATTGTACAGGAAATGGATGGTTATAATATTTATTAAACGCATATATTAAACACTTGGAAAATTAATAGTTTGTTTATTTATCTAATCATATTTTTTGTTTTCTAGCAGTTTTTTGTTTTATTTGATAGGTAATCTAAAATTTTTTTAATTTCAATATTACGTTTACGTTATTTTCGTTCTAACAATATACCTAAAATGTGTAAAATAATATGCTAGCTATAATAAAACGTCAACCTTTATTTTATTGTTTGCATAAACATACATGAGTTTATATTAAATTGGGATAAATATTGCCTTGGTAGGTATCATGCATTAATTAATTCAGAAATTGAATCTATTAGTAAAATATAATTTCGTAAATGAGTTATAACTTCACTTAGTTGTTGGTAAATATAGTATTTTGTTTATATTTTGTAACAAAAACGGAATGTGTTTTGAATGTTTTGAACAGAATAGTTTTCCTTGATTCAGAAAGAAATTCAACTGTTGTATGAACAAATCCCAAAAACGATTTCGGTGTAGTTCACGAGTTAATAGCGTAGCTCGACACCGTCGCACCCGCTATTTGCATTTTAATTGAACTAAAACTTTCTTGTACCACGTCAGGAGCAAGCGTGAACATTATTATGAGAAACAAAAACCAAATAATTTAACGAACATTTATAATCTATACTAATATTTATAAAAACGTAAAGTTTGTAAATTGTGAGTTTGTGACGTTGTAGGGGGTACTCTCTGGATCTACTGAACCGATTTAAATGAAATTTGGTAAGAAAATAGTTTGCGATACGGGAAAGGACATAGAATACTTTTTATCCCGGAAATCATCCCTTAAGGGGGTGAAAATGTGGATGAAAGTTTGTATGTGGGATCAGACTAGGGACGAACCCGAGCGAAGCGAGGGTGAGTCGCTATTTTTACAAAAAACAAAGCGAGATATATGTATACAAGACTGAGTTTTTTAAATGGTAGATACAGGAATACACCTAATGTTTTCACATTACAATATGTCTATTTGATAAAATAGAATTACCTTATTAGTACATACTAGCGTTGCATGCGGTTTTGCCTGCATAGTTATTTATGTTTAATAGCTCTGCGCCTTAAGATCTTAACGTGATGGTAGAGCTGTCTTCCTAAATAATAGGGCTATAAAATGCAAATACAGTTTTCTAGAGTTTCTTGTGATAGCGCGTTCAAACAAACAAAAGAAACTCTCCAATTTTGTATATTATTATACATTCAAACCACAGCAATGTCATAATACCATCTGTTTTGTTTGCATTAAGAATAGTCCCTACAGCTACAAATGGAAGTAAGTTCAAGCGCTGTTTTACTAAGAGAGAAAATTCACCGAACATTTTTAAATATTTATACTTAGAAATTCTTTGATGGTCTCGGTAAGTTTTATGTAATTTACATAAAAAGGTACCCTTTTAGATTAAATTAGTGATGCTGAAAGTTTTGTTTTTAAGTCAATTTATTACTTAGATTAGACAATTTTAACGGATATTTTAATAATTGTTACTTAACATGTTAAGTTAATTGTAAGTTTTACTTATGAGGTAACTGTCAAGAAATGCAAACTGCTTTGCATTTAGCTTCTCATTTTGATTACTCTGTTTGAGTTATATATTATTATATTATAATATAACTAGCATAGCCCGCGGCTCCGCCCGCGTTCAGATGACCAAAAACCAAACTCTTAGGTTTAACATAGGGTAAGAGCCGGAAAGTTGCCCCACTTTTTGAGAATCTCCAATTACATAAAAAATAAGTATCTACTTACAACATGGCCTATGTATAATTAAACATTGGTCTTTAATCTTTCATTGTGACCTACTTTTTTAAACACAATGAATATTGTTTTTCAGTAAATCTTTATTTAAGTTTTATTTGACCTCTACAAAAGGGGATAGTGGTCCTCTGTGGCGGATAGTTGCCTTATGTTAAAAATGCTTTGGGGGATACTTGCCTCATGCGGGGATAGAAGACTCATCATGAAATTGTTGTAATTTTTTTGGATTAAAACAAATTTACGTAAATTTAATCAACCATTATTAATTATTAACATCAAATAATTAAGTAGTAGGTATTTACTAATCGAAATCAATACAACTTTTAAAACACAAATAAAATGTCCAAAATTTAAGTTATAAATAATAATTAACTTTAAAGATAAAAACAATATGGTAATCAACTTTGACACAAATATTAAAATTAGTGGGTAGGTTATCATTATAGGTATATCACCAAAAACAGTTTAAAAATCATCATCAATTACAAAGTCATCACTTTTAATTTTCCACATCTCACACAATATACTTTGAATGATGAACGAGTTTCCTGGAAATACAATCCAGTATGATTTGGATTTAGTGTTATTGTAATTTTCAAAACATCTACAATAATCATCAACTGAAACTTTATCATTCGCTTTCTTTTCAGTCTCTCTTATCATTTTTAATTTCTTACGTCTTTTTTTGTACTCCTTTAGTAGCTTTTTTGGCTATTTTTGTATTTATAATGTTTTTTTTTTCATTTTAACTCTCCGAACTATAAGTTGTTCAAAGCTCTTTCTCCGCTTAGTTTAATTAAATCTGTTTTCAAATTCTGTTTCACTGCGAGAGAAATCGTCATATTTTTTTATCTTTAACTTTCGTTTCTACCTCTTTTCTTCATAATTATCTCGTTATCAGCTGATTTATTTTCTACTGTCTTAACATCCTTTTAAATAAAAGAAACGAAACGAAATCGTTGTCTCCATTCTAGTTCTTTTTGTAATGTTTGTTTCTTCTTCTTTATCCTGTTTTTGGAAAAATATTCGTTGAAATTTAAAACTTCTGCAGATTGTTTAGCCCTTTTAGACATGCTTAGCTCTTGTTCATATTTGCGAGGCATTTCGCCCACGTACATCACTAATTGTCCTTAGGGCGACTATCCTTTTCGGTACGGATACTTGCCCTTAAATTTTGAAAAATAAATAATTGTTATTCGACAGCTTAAGATAATAAATAGTGTAACTTAAGCTTCAGTACACGTGTAGAAGCAAAATGTTGACTGAACCAGCAACTGTAAAAAAAATTCAATAGAAAATACATATGAATATAATTTCAACGCTCGTTAACCTCCTGCCGCGGAAGATTTTCGTTCACACAGACAAAACACGTTTACCTAGTCCTACTACTGGCATCGTCCTAAAGTCTGTGGAAGAGGTGCTTCAAATTACAGAAGAGCGCTAACATCAGGGACATCTCTAATATAGCGTATTGAAAACCGGGTCATGTATCCCACTGAGGCGACTATACGAGTTTTACCTTATTAGTATACTCTTACAATGCAGTTTTCGTATTTTTTCTTAGAAATGAGATATTTTCCCGCGGTAAAAAGTATTCTATATGTTGACCCGAATAACAAGCTATCATCATACCAAATTTTATAGATTCGGCCTCTGTATCGATAATAATGTCTATTTCAACAAGATTTTCAAAAAAATATTTAATGTACAGATTCGGCTTAGTTACAATTTTATTATATGTATAGATTAGTACATAATATGTCCATACTTCTTTATTTCGCGTACCCATGTTTTGGTTATTCCCTTAGGAAAATATATGTATTTCATTTCATTATATTAGTGGTAACTTTTTAAAACATACGAAAGAAACAACAATTTTATTATTATACGTATAATTCAATTCAATTAAAACCTCCCCTATTTTACACAAGAAAATGATTTCGATGTCCGGAGATAAAATCTCGTAGAGAGTAATCATTACGAGCCATCCATCCCCGCTGACGCTGAGTTATCTTACTTGAATCTTATTTAACAACCATTTAATATCCAGGAACATTTTACGCTAGCAATGCCTTTTGAATTTGTTATTCACAACCGATATTTTGTTGTCGTTATTATAAAGACCGTTCTAAAGAGACTTTACATTCGTTTTTTAATGAAATAAGCAAATAATTAAAATCATTTCTAGATGTTAGAATATCATTTAACGACACGTTTGACTCAGTTTGTAGTGACCCTACTTGCTGTGCCAGCGGTCGCGGGTTCGAGTCAGTGGGGGCATTAATTCGTGTGATGAGCACATAGGTTTGTACTCCAGTCATGGGTGTTTATATTTATAATATGTATGCATTTAAAGTTATATATGTGTAGTGTATCAACTATCTGGTAGGATCCATAACACAAGCCTCGTAGCTTATCGTGGAACTAGATGGTGCTGTGTATTAATATCCCAACATATTGTTATCATTAATTTATTAGCCCTTCATTCTCTAATGACATTAACGCCAAAGCCAACGCACACACTAAATTAAGACGAGAGTCGAGTCTAAATTAAGACATCTAAGAGCACGCCTCTCACTTAATGAATATATTGTCACTGACATCTTTTAAACATTAAGAATACAATTAGTATTTAACATACCTTTTTTCAATCATCTCTACAAAAGCAGTAGATTTTAATTCAACTCTCAAATGGCGTACAAAGACAAAGGTTCTGACGACAATCTTGCAACTAGTCGTATATTTGGGTCGACTACAGTGTGGACTTTTAGTGAGAATTTTCCAAACTCTTATCACAGAAATGTGGATATCAAGGCCGAAACATTGGAGCCGAGAATGTACACTTTCTTTTTTCACTATATTATTTTTGTGAAAAAAAAATATTATACAATAATAGATTTTTAATGGTACTCGATGGCGTAATAATTTTGTAGTCCAAGTTTGAAATTAATGTAAAGTTGGAATTATTGTTCACAAGATCGCTATTGTGCTGTGTATATTTAAAGTACCTATATTTCAAGGATTCAACAGTTATAACTTTTATATGTATTAGAAGTACCTAGTTAGTGTAAAAATTAGCTAATAATAAATAACGCTTTAACCCCGAGATATGAAAGAAAACCATCAAGTTCGAGGATAAAACTATATTATTTTAACAAGCATTTTATTATCTTTATTTCTCAGTTTTA